AACAAGTTTCCATCTCTCAGAATTTTTGCTGTTGTAATGTCTCCCACTTGATTCTTCAAAATAGTGGATAGCTTAACTGGGTTGATTAATTGAAGTCCCTTCTCCTCATTGACTCTATCAAAGACTTTGAACTCCTTTACCTCCCTCTCCATTTCTACTTCAGACTCATCCCAGTTTGTCACTACCCTTCCCTTCTTTACTGCATCTGCCACCACCGAAGAATTTCCTCTTTTTGGACTCATCCTCTCACTACATGAATTATCACTACGCACCTCACTCTCATTACCTACACTACTTTCCCTCTCTGGCCCATTCACAGCACAGCTGTGCCTACCCGCTGTAGTCTTTATCCAGAGTTCCTTCACCAGTCTATGGGATTTACCAATAGCGTCCTGGGTGTTCCCTCGACGTCGAATTCCAGACACTCAAAGATTCTTTATTTCTTTATCTTCATTTTCTTATTTTGTTTTCAATTTCAAATTTTTAACCATTCAGCTGGTATTAGTAAATTGTTTTAAATTATCACACGCCGCACCTCCCTCAACGTCAGACTCAAACCGGCTCAGGTCTGGCAATCACCCTGTGTGAGTCTGACTTATAAAGGGTGCAGAGACAGGTGCAGCTAATTGAAAGATAATCAGAGCTGTAGGTGCTACAGTGAAGACAAACCGGTTTGATCAGTGAAGACAACCTTAAACCTACATGCAGCCAGAAGAGAAGGATCCAAAGACACCAAGCAGTGCACAGGGTGATAGAAAATCTAACCTCACAGGCGTGAATCATGACAGAACGCCATGATCTCCGCTCTCTGCCAGCCCACTTCTTCGCTGCAATCACTACTCATCACCTCCCAATCTCCCTCCTTCTGTGTAAATAAACAATTTAAATTTAAATACTGTAATATTTTAAATAAACAATCCATGCTGGATTTTTTATGTAAAAACAGTATTTAAATTTAAATTGTAGAGAAGTGCAGCAGGACATGAAAGGTTAACCCTTCACGCAGCTCTGCAGCACGGAGCAGAAATGTACTTCTTAATCAATTACACTTTAACAACTCAACATATAAGTTCTAAAATAATTAAAAATAACTTAACACTTTTATATTTTGTGATTATGACGATTTTACGATGTGTTATACTTGAATTTTAAGTTGGGAGACAAAAGTCGATCTTTGCAGCCAGAGAGCAGAGTTAACCCTTCACAAAACTGCTGCAGCACGAGCAGAAATTGACATATTTAGGATTTAAAGTTTAACTAGAGAAATTGCATTTCCTGTGAAAATGCAGTGTGATTGCTTATTGTTGAAAAACAGCTGAAATGAGCTAAAACATGCTGAAATGTAGCTGAAATGGAAGAACAAGCCTAAGTTAGCAGAATAAGCAAAAATAACACATATTTGCTGAATTTTGTTTAAATAAACAAAAATGAACAGAAAAATTATTAAGTATGATTACAACAGAAAAGTGGGCGTGGCAGAGAGTGCTGGCAGGAGGCAGAGAGCGAAGATCATGACACGCTGCAGGAGGTAGCTTCTCCCTGCACCTGTGGGCTGTGCAGCAGATGCTAAATCATTAAAAAATATATATATTTTAAATAAACAATCCATGCTGTTCATGCGGCTCATCCATCAATCAGCTAATTGTGTGTCATGTCCAATCTTGCTTTGAAAAACCGTGAAAGAGCGAGTCTGCTAAAGTCAAACTGCTAAGTAGCGAAGGACTACTGTATATGAATGTTTCTGTTCAGTGCCCTGAGATGACTTCTGTTGTGACTTGGCAATGTATAAATAAATTGAATTGAAACTGAATTGAAAAAGACCATCAGGAAGTCTGGAGAACTGTTGATCTGGACGGCTCTACAAGATCACAGCAAGAGAAATATAAAGACCAAGACCAACGAAGATCAGAGGTTATAACAGGATTACATCTGTGGAAATTAGTCTGAAACTTCTCTCAGGCTTTAAAAAAAAACTCTCAGTCAAAACCTCCTGATGCATGCTCAATAATCCAGGTAGAAAAAAACAACAAAAAAAACTCAGGTCCTCTGGATGGATTCAAAAAACTAAAAATTTTTTGAAACGTTTCCTCTTTCATCCAAAATACTTTTTCAGTCTTGAGAAGAAGAATGAAGAAGTGTTTTGGATGAAAGACGAAACGTTCCTACAGTTTTAATTTTTGAACCCGTCCAGAGGACCTGACGACTTTTTTTGGGTTCAGTCAAACCTATTGAGTAACAGTGTTTAAAACAACTGTCTATGCTTGGGAGGTGATGTACAGAACAACTGAGGATCCAAACGCACAAGCTAAGATTTAACAACTGTTCAGCAAGCAGAGTAGTGGTCCCCGGGTTAGCTATGTATATGCACTAGGGCTGGGTGATATGGACCAAAATAAATATCTCAATATTTTTACAAAAATCGCAATATACGATATATATATATAGATAATTTTCTTTCCATAAATAACAAAAATATATTTGAGTCAAAGTTTTGCCGGCTGTGGCTGAGTGGTTAGAGCAGTCGTTCTCCAATGCGAGAGTTGGGGGTTCGAATCCACCAGCAGTCACATGCTGAAGTGTCCCTGGGCAAGACACTGAACCCCTCATAGCCTCTGATGTGTGTCCCATCCGTGTATGAATGTGATCTAAAGCACTGATTAGTCTCATTAGAATGATTTGTTCAATTAGCTTTGTAGAGATCTAGTAGAGTGGTGTGGATGGGTAAATGAGGACAAAGATTGTAGTGTAAAGCGCTTTGAGTATGTTGAAATAAGACAGAAAGGCACTATATAAGTAGTCCATTTACCATTTATCATTTACCAGCCGGTCAAAGCAGATGGCCGCTTGTCCTGAGCCTGGTTCTGCTGGAGGTTTCTTCCTTTTTAAAGGGAGTTTTTTATTTCCACTGTTGCCACTGTGCTTGCTCAGGATGGGAGACTGCAATGAAGCCAAGATTCTACTTGTCTGCTGGATTCCTTAGATAAAGAACTTTACTAATTGGCTTTTATGTGAATGTTTCTGTAAAGTGCCCTGAGACAACTTTGTTGTGATTTGGTACTATATAAATAAACTGAATTGAACTGAAATTTATTAACAGCTGTAACTGTACAAAATAAATGCCTAAAAATAAACAATTTAAATATATTAAATAGTTTATTTTTTAGACATTTATTTACATATATTAAACAATGATCCTCTTCAGCTGGGGGCAGCTGTGGAAGGCTAGAGCAGTCGTCCTCCAATGGGAGAGCTGGGGGGTTCGATTCCACCAGCAGTCACATGTCAAAGAGCCCCTGGGCAAGACAATGAACCCCTCATAGCCTCTGATGTGTGTCCCATCAGTGTATGAATGTGATAAAGCTCTGATTAGTCTTTGTAGAGATTTAGTAGAGTGCTGTTTGAATGGGTAAATGAGGCACAGATTGTGTTGTAAAGAGTTTTGAGTATCTTGATAAGACAGAAAGGAGCTATATAGTTCATTCAGCTGTGCCGCCTTCACGTTAGTGTGTGTGAACTGCAGGTCCGATAGAACCGTCTCCTTCCTTGAAGCAAACCACGGTTCAGAGCTCATTTAGCTGCGCTGTGTGCCTTTTAGAGGAACACAGAGAGGAAGTGCGACATTAATAAATCAGCAGTTTATCATATCGCTAAAGAAACGGTCCCGTCGGCTGTTGAACACGATGGCTAAAGCGTTGTCTTGTTAGCCGCTAAGGACCGTATCGTTAGTGATATGATAAACTGTTGATTTATTAATGTTGCGCTTCTTCTCCGTGTTCCTCTAAAAGGCACAGAGCACAGCTAAATGAGCTCTGAACCGTAGTTTGCTTCAAGGAAGGAGACAGTTCTGTCAGACCTGCAGTTCACATACGCTCAACTGCTGTGTTGACTTCTGCTAAACATCTCCTCTTGCCCGCCCACCTCTTGAAGAAGCAGGAAGGGGAGGGGGAGCGCGGCTGAGGGCTGTGTGTGTTCGAGGAGGTAGAATTCTTATCGGTTCCTCGGCACCACCATCACCCAGGACCTCAAGTGGGAGCCGACCATCAGCTCCCTCATCAAGAAGGCCCAGCAGAGACTGTACTTCCTGCGACAGCTGAAGAAGGCCAAGCTGCCGGCCAAGCTTATGGTGCAGTTCTACACGGCCATCATCGAGTCCATCCTCAGCTCCTCCATCACGGTGTGGTACGCCGGGGCCACTGCCAGGGACAGACTCAGACTGCAGCATGTTGTGCGCTCAGCTGAGAAGGCTGCAGCCTTCCATCTCTCCACGACCTGTACGTCTCCAGGACTGTGAGGCGAGCAGGTCGGATCACAGCTGTCCCTGCTCACCCTGCACACAGACTGTTCGAACCACTCCCCTCAGGCAGGAGGCTTTGGTCCATACGGACCAGAACCTCCCGCCATAAGAACAGTTTCTTCCCCTCTGCTGTTGGACTCCTGAACACTCATAATGCTACCTCATAATTTCTGCTTTGGTCACATTACATCTGTATTATAACTGAATACTCCATTTGTACTGTTTTCTAAGCTTTTTTATTGTTTTCTATTGTATGGGTGTACACATGTTTATGTTATGTTTTTAATTTTACTTTATTTGTGGGTGTACACAGGTCTTATGTCTTATGTAATGTTCTCATTTTTACTTTATTTTTACTTTATTTTACTTTATTACTATTCGCACCTTATGTCGAAGCAAATTCCTAGTTTGTGAACCTCGTTCATTGACATGGCAATAATAAACTGATTCTGATTCTAGAAGGAAGGGGGCCGCCTGGGAGAAAGAAGACGGCAGGATTTCCAAGTATAAAACTATGTCGTTTTATATCAAGATAGCTCAACTTATATCGCCAAAAAAAAAAAGAAGGATCTCGATATTTTAAAAATATCGAGATATCGCCCAGCTCTAATATGCGCTATCTTGAAACATTTCTGTAACACGGAGTGCAACATTCCGAGGAAACAGATAAAGCTGAACTTTTAAAAAAGAAAATTGTTTGTGGCATTGCTGTTATATTTAATGTTTTTGATCAATCAGTATTCAGATTCTTTGGAAACAATTCTAGCAGTTTTGATATGAACTCTTTAGGACCAGTTCAGAACTGATTATGGGGCAGAACTATTTTCAGCTATTCCCCAGTGAGAAACCAATGGATGCATTGTTCATGGGAACATTCAGGGCCCCTGGGGGAACACCGGAACCCCAGGGCCCCTGGGTTCCAAGCTGGGTCTGCAGGAGCCTTTGTAGCTCTTTGAACTGCTCCACTGTCTGGTCCTTCACATCAGGATTTGAGATTTGTAGCCGGATGCTTTCTGTGGACCAGTTCAGTTCTCCAGAAAACATCTCTGTCAAGATCCGAGCCACCACTGGAACCACCTGGACAATGATGAGTTTCTTCTCTTTTGGTTTCTTGTCAGGCCAGTCTTCTCCAAAACAGAAGAACACCTCAAAAGGTGGAGGGTTTGGAGCTTCTCCCCTCTGAAACAGGATGAGGCCTGAAGAGCAGAATAATGTTTGTGAAACTCATGGGTCAGGAAATCAAAAATATTTGGAGAAAACAGACCTTGCAGGAAGTCGTTGAGGCTGAACACTTTAAGCTTCCTCTCTCTCTCTATTGGATTTGATGGTCCCTGTTCTGGCATGCCTGGTCCTGACCAGAACACCTTGCACTGACAGAGGCGAATTGCATAAATGTCCTGTTCTTGGATCTCCAGGATAAGACCTCGGTCCATTACATCCAGAAGGGCCTCGGTGTAGAACCGCTGCTTCTGGTTCTGGATTTCAGATGTGCCTGGAAACAGGACCTGCTGCAAAGTCACAGGCCCAAACAAGTCCACTTGCTCCGGGGTTGGTTCCAGGTGTCCGTAGTAAAGACGGCAACCCTGGGGATTACTGACTGTAAGGGAGCCCATCGTCCGCCCCCTGTACAGGAACTTCAGGTCCAGATCTGTTACTACAGCAACAAGAAATGAGAAGGTTAGAGGTAGTATTATCATTTCATCTTGAGAACAAAACAACTGACTTACAACAAAGGATAATTTCTGATGGCAAACACCTTTAACTATGCCCCTCGGTCAGGTGGGTGGAATGCCCAGGTGAAGGAACAGGTCACACTTTAAATCCTGCATAACCTACTGACACTCAGATCCACAGAAATATTCTGAAACAAGCAATCAACTCGAGTCCACGTTAAATGGGAACAGAAGATTCAAGGTATCAACCCTAACCAGGGGCGGCTGTGGCTGAGTGGTTAGAGCAGTCGTCCTTCAATGCAAGTGTTGAGGGTTCAAATCCACCAACAGTCACATGCCGAAGTGTCCTGGGCAAGACACTGAACCCCTCATTGCCTCCGATGTGTGTCCCATTGGTGTATGAATGTGATAAAGCTCTGATTAATCTCTTTAGAATGATTTGTTCAATTAGCTTTGTAGAGATCTAATAGAGTGCTGTATGAATGGGTAAATGAGGGCACAGTTTGTAGTGTAAAGCGATTTGAGTGTCTTGAATAGATAGAAAAGGTGCTATATAAGTACAGTCCATTTAGCATTTACAGTCCATTTAACCACCCAACTCAGGTCTGAGGTTTCACAGTACATCTGTTTGTTTTTATGTTTGGTGTGTGCCATTTTTAGGCCTGAGCAGCGAAGCGCTGCGAAGGCCTATTGTAATTAGGCCCGAGCAGCTAAGCGCTGCGAAGCCCTATTGTAATCGTTCTGTTCAGGCCAGAGTTGCAATTTTTTTCCGCCAAACGAATTGACGTTTTGGAGGCCTTATCATATCCCAAAAGTCACCAAATTTGGCAGACGCATAAGGACTGGTGAAAAATTACATATTTTAAGGGTGTGGCAAAAATCGCAACAGAAACGGCTCAAGGGCGCCACCTAGAAATTTTCAAAATACCCTCCACATTAACCTTAGTTTGTCATAGAAACATGAAATTTGGTACGCTTGTCCAATTCACCAATATGCACAGAAAACCCTCTGGCACCAACATTGTACGATAAACAGGAAGGTGGCCATTTTGGAATGCCGGCCCAATTTTCACACCTTTTTGACAATTTACAACCTCCGCATTTGAACAAACTCTTCCTACGGATTTCGCTCAATCGGTTTCAAACTTGGCTATTTTGGTCAAAAGGCATGGTGGTGTTGATATTTTCTGGGTTGTTAATATAAAAGTTTGATATGTTTACACAATTTACAGTTTACTTTAAAATGATAATTAAAGTGTTTGCCTGCAGTTTTAGCTCTGAGTCTCAGAAAGGATCTGTACTTTGTGGAAATGAAAACATTGATACCAGTTTATTTTGTTCATCAATTTTATCATCACTCTTATTAGTCATTTACTTTATATCAAACTCTGTTAAAGCTTATCTAAAACTGTAGCAGCTAAACCCCTTCAACATCAGTGTGAAACCTTTTAACTTCTGTTTCTCAAACTCAGCTCCAGAACCAGTCACTGACCACAAACGTACTGTCTGTTTTTACTCTGATAAGATTGCAAATGAGCGCCTGTTGTGTCAAAACATGTTACGTGTGAAGGTGTATAAATGAAGCCGTACTGCTCATGGTTTTTGGAGAACACACAAGAACTCTTGGGCTGCGTTTTCGTTTCATGTGTTTTCCCTTCTGCAGAAGAGAAATAAACCTTGCTACGTGTTTTTTAACAAAGTTCTCAGTCTGCTAAATTTTATTGAACAACAAAGTTTGATAAAACTCCACAGTGGACGCAAACTTATCTAAATGGTTAGTTTCGGAGCATGTTGAAGGGGCGGGGCCAGACCTCAAAGTTTGACATCTCGCCATGAAAAACGAAACGCTAATAGCTCCTACACGAAAACTGTCTGAAATATCAAACCTTCAGTGATTGATCCACATCCGGTCCCCTGCAAGACTGAATGGTCAAATCATGACATCACTTAAGCCACACCCCCTGTCAACAAGAAGTATAGTCTTACATTGAACGATCCCTATCTGACCCGTTACCTGATCAGCATGATAGTGTGTTCAGTGACCGAAGACATGTTGGTGTAACTTGCTTTCCAACACTAACAGTTTGGGATGGAGCATGTGGGCGGCGTGGCGAAGTAAGACATAACGCCGTCGCCATACGTTTGGCTCTAAATTCCACAGTTTTGAACCAAGGTGCACCAAAATCAGTTTGATCGATCATTATCCACCCCTTGAACCGGAAGCCATGATAAGTGGCCAATAGCCTCCACAGTGCCCCCTAGAATATTTTAAAATCTCAGCCCCAAGCCATTTTTTGAACGATAATTTTGAAACTCTGTGAACATAAGTATCTTCGGAAGTCAGCCATTTTGGGTCAAAGGGTCATTTTTGGGCGTTTCTAATTGTGAATTTTAACAAACTCCTCCTAGGAATTATGAAGGATTGCCTTTAAACTTGGTTGATATGCTCTTAAGACATAGGAGAGTAAAAGTTATCTAAAGCTTGCGTTTTCGTATATGTTAAAGGGGTGTGGCCAGGCCTCAAAGTTTCGCTTCACGCCATGAAATTTCCAAACACTATAACTTTCACATTAAAAGACCGAAATGCATGAAACTTGGCATGACTCATTCCTGTTGGATGTCCGACGATCCACTGTGGTCATATTTTGACGTCATCAAAGCCCCGCCCCCTCAGAACAGGAAGTCTCTTTTTTAACTTTGAATGCTCCCTCTTTGACACCATTGACCTAATCAGGACGATCCTGTGTTAGAAGACAGATAATATAGTCTGATTTGCTTTAAAGCGCAAACCGTTTTTGCTTGAGGATGTGGGCGTCGCGACATGGCGAAGTAAGACGTAATGCCGTTGCAATAAGTTGGGCTCTAAATTGCACAGATTTCAGCCAAGGTGCACCAAAATCAATACGATTGATCATTATCTGCCCCTTGAACACGATAAGTGGCCAATAGCCTCCACAGCGCAACCTACATTATTCCTACAGTTATAGCTCAGTGATAAAACATCAGATCTACACCAGATTTATTGTGCATCATCAGTGAGGACTTTTAGACACGTTGATATTGTGGTTTAACATATGACTCTAGTGCGCCCCCTAGATTATTCCAACAGTTATATCTCAATGATACATTATCCTATCTGCACCAGCTTTATGGTACATCATCTGTGAGCATTTCTAGACATATTGGTATTGTTGTTTAACATTTGACTCGTGTGCCCCTAGCTTATTCAAACTGGTATAGCTCAATCATATACAGTGAACCCTTGCTATAATGCGGTTCACCTTTCACGGTCTCGCTGCTTCACGGATTTGCATCATGCATTGTGTTCTACATTCTGATTGGCTAAACAGTCTCAGTAGTTATAGTAGTTATTTGTAAAAAAACATTTATACAGTACTTTTATTTGTTAAACAAATGCTTGGGCCTGTAAAAAGTTTTTGTTCTTTGGTTTGAATGTATTATGGAGTATTTCATTGTATAATTGTAAAAAAAAAAAAATGTTACTACTTCACGGATTTCGCCTATCACGGGTTCTTTTTGGAACGTAACCCCCGCGAAAAACCAGGGTTCACTGTATTATCCAATCTGCACCAAAATTTATGTGCGTGATCAGTGAGCACTTATAGACACATTGATATTGTTCTTTACCATTTGACTCAAGTGCGCACCCCTAGACTATTCTAACAGTTTTATCTCAGTGATACATCATCCAATCTCAACCAGAATTTTGGTGCATAATCAGTGACCACGTCTAGACACAGTGATATTGTGGTTTAACATATGACTCAAGTGCACCCCTAGATTATTCCAAGAGTTATATCTCAGTGAAATATCATCCAATCTGAACCTGAGGTTTTGTGCTTCATCAGTGAGCACTTGTAGACACATTGGTATTGTTGATTCATGACATAACTTAAGCCTCACCTAATCAAAGAAAAAACTGTCTTGGATGACACTTCCAGCTTGGCACTGTGTAAGATATTAGACTGAAACTTTGTTCGCTAACTGTTGATTACCACACATGACATGTTGAAAAGCATGAAAGAAGTGCTTGTCAAACATTTGTCACAAAAAAGGAAGTCACCATAACTCCTGACTGGAAGGTCAAATTTCTCATATACTTGTAAGACCTGCAGCTGGAAAAGTAACGAGATGGACGGAAGGCAATGTCGAAGATTCGGGAAATGTGCCTTGTGGTGAACGCATGCGATATTGGCTCAAGAGCATTCGCGATGGTGACTAGGTGGACTAGCTGGAGCTTCCTCGGTCACCATAAGGCAGGAGCGGTGCTTTGCTGCGAGGGCCTCCAATGCTGCTTGCAGCTTTAATTATTATTGGAATCAAAATGAACTAGAACTTGCTTAGAAGTGGATACGGTTTTTTGGGGAATCAATGTGGGCTGCACAATGGTGCAGCTGCCTTGCATCAAGAGAGGAAGCAGGATTAACCCCCTGGTGAGTTTGTTCTGTGTGCAATTAGCATGTTCTCCTTGTATGGGTTTTCTTCCATAGTCCAATAACATGCAGGTTAGGCTAACCACTAGATATTTTCTTTAAGTGTGACTAGTTGTATAAATGCAGCACAGTGGCGCAACTGGTAGAGCTGCTGCCTCTCAGCGAGGAGGTCCCTGGTTCAAACCCCGGTCCAGGGGCCTTTCTGGGTGGAGTTTGCATGTTCTCTCCATGCATGCGTGGGTTTTCTCCGGGTGCTTCGGTTTCCTCCCACAGACCAAAAACATGCATGTTAGGCTGATTGGTAACTCTAAATTGTCCCTAGGTGTGAGTGAGAGAGTGAATGGTTGTTTGTCTCGTTTGGCTCTATGTGGCCCTGTGATGGACTTGCGACCTGTCCAGGGTGTACCCCGCCCCTCGCACAGTGATTGCCGGACATGGGCACCGGTGACCCCCGTGACCCAAAATGGAATAAGCGGGTAAAGATAATGGATGGTTGTATAAATAATATCTACCCTGTGATGGACTGG